TTTGTAGATCTAAACATAAAGGCTAAACCTATAAAGTTTCTAGAAATAAACAACCACAAAAAGGTTTGTAACTTTGAGTAGGCAAAGATTTCTAAGAAAGTATAAAAAGGGCATTATCCATTAGAAGAAAAATGATGAATTGGACATCGTCAAAATTGAAAACTTATGTACTTCAATGAAAATTGACATAACCTGAGAGGAAAATATCATCAATTCATTTATTTGACAAAGGAATTATATTTTAAATAGATGTGTCTATATACTATATAACATATAACATACAACATATAATAAATATACGTTTATGTCTACAAATCAGTAATGAAAAGACAAACAGCCTAAATAAAAATTATGGGCAAAAGATTCATATGGATACCTCACAAAAGAAAAATACAGAATGGCCACTAAGCACATGAAAAGGGAAAAGCAATTTAAAACCAAAGTAGGATGCTACTTAACACTCATCAGAATATATCAAATTAAAAGACTGACAACATCGAATGTTGGTGAGAATGTGATGCAACTGAGACTCTCATACATTGCCAGTGGGATTACAAAATGGTATGAACACTTGGGAAAACTGTTTAGTGTTTCATTATAAAATTAAACATGCACCTACCTTATGATCCAGCAATTCCTTTTCTTGGTAGGTCTTCATCCAAGATAAATGAAGGTATATGTCCCGCAAAGTTGTTTGTGTAAAATGTTTATAGTAGCTTCATTTGTAATAGCTCAAAGCTGCAAACAACCCAAGTGTTCATCTACAGGCATTTGGTTAAATAAATTGTGGTATAACCATCGAAGGAATAGCAAACTATTCATATGAAAGAGAAACATTATAAATGATTTTCATAAATATGTTGAGCAGAAAAGCCATAAATAAAAGAATAAATACTGCATAATTCTATTTATATAAAGCTCAAAGTTAGGAAGAACAAGCTAATCTATGGTGATAGAAGTCAAAACTGTAGTTGCCTGTGGGGTAGAGGGAGTAGGAACGGCCTGGAGGGGAGCACATAGAAACTTTTGGAAGTGATGGACACATTTTAGATCTTGATTGGTGTGTTGATTATATGAGTCTTTATATTAGTCCATACTTAACAGATTGTATATTTAAATTTCCTTTACACTGTATATACATTTTCCCTGAATATAATAAAGTCACTATATACATTCAGAGTCACGTAGTTTTTTTCTATAACCATACAACCATTACGCAGACTTTAGTATGACTTAAATAAATGCATCAAAGGAAACACATTCTTCAAATCCAGGGCACTTACTTTCATGTATAGGGGAATTAACATTATATGTAGTAGTCTATATATTGGATTTTCATCATAGCAGTAAAAATCACAACCAATAACTCATTTCCTATCTTCTTTTTCAAAGATGAAAAACATTAGAAGTATCTTGAAATACCAACTAGGATTTATTTTCAGTATTTGGAAATAAGAGTTACACATTTGATTAGCTACTAGTTGTGTTTATTTTCCCCAGTGGCCTCTCAGATTTTAGTAATGCCTCAAAGGCACTAAATCTATTGCTTTACTATGTGGTGGCCTATTTTCTATCGAATTTCACCCTTGGTAACAGTGGTAATTCATAATTTGAAATCCTTATGTCATCCTCTTAAAACTATATCTAAACCAATTGTATTTCTTTCTTTCCTACATTAGTAAATGGTATTTCACTTTTGTTTAAGGACATTATTTTTATTTTTAAGTAACAAACGGATCTTCAATAATCTCTGAGTCCTTCAGGGTAGGGTACTCTCTATTGATTTCTGCTTATAGTTTTCAAGATTCTATTATGGGTAAGGCAGGAATGGCAGTTTTAATGAGAGTCCTTTTTTGTTTTTGTTGTTGTTGTTAAATGTAGATCCAAAGAGTTCTACTAAAATAAGACAAATGTCAGTAAAGAGGAAAATGCAATGGTAGAAAAGGTTTCTTTAGTAAGGCAGATTTCTAACTAGAATGTTTTGATCTAGAGAATATAAGTGATAGGAAATCGTGTAATCCAAAAGATACACACATGCTACTCATGTGGTCACATACATCTCTTCTTCACCAAAATACTGAAATCTAAAATGGCCCAGCTTTCTTTGAAGATTGAAAGAAAGCATGTTTAAATGTATAGCTTTACTGAGATTAATATAGCTGCCCCCAAGGTATAGTGTTGATTAAATTGACAAGTATGTCTTTATGGAGCACCTGGGTGGTTCAGATGGTTAAGTGTCCATCTTTGGCTCGGGTCGTGATCTCACCGTTCATGCATTAGGCTCTGCCCTGACAGCTCAGAGCCTGGAGCGTGCTTCAGATTCTGTGTTTCCCTCTCTCTCTGCCCCTCCCCGGCTTGTGCGCATGCTCAATTTTTTCTCTCTCTTTCTCTCTCCCTCTCTCAAAAAAAAAAATAAATAAACTAACATTTTAAAGAAAGAAAAGTTTATTTGTGATTGCTAGAGCTGAGACAGACGTGTTTGAGATGTAGATTTAATATTTTATTGACTCGTTTGAGACTGACACAAAGGGAAGCCAGTTTTCCTTAGTGGCCATCCTTTGGTGCCCCTTTGCTTTTCAGTATGCATAATTAATCAGGGCATTCTGACCCAATTGTTGTGTTCCTTACTTTCTTTTATTCCTCTTTATGTTTAATAGAGTAAGATCAGTTCAAAACCATACCTAAAACCTAGTGCATACACGATTGCATTACTTCACAAGATTTTCCTAATGATGGAGTGTTTGCTCACATTTATCATAATGAGAGTTGAACTATATCCTAATTATTTTGTCATGTGATAGATCACTAAAGATTATTATTGCATATTTATATCTTTGGAAAAAATGTCATGTGTCTCATTTATTTATTGATTGATTTTTAGAGAGAGAGCACACACAAGCTTTGGGGGAGGGAGGAGGCAGGGGGGAGAGAGAGAGAGAGAGAGAGAGAGAGAGAGAGAGAGAGAAAGAAAGAATCTTAAGCAGGTTCCATGTTCAGCGCAGAGCACAACTCAGGGCTTGATCCCAGGACTCTAGAACCAAGACCTGAGCAGAAACCTAGAGTCAGATATTCAAACAACTGAGCCATCCAGGTGCCTCTCATGTGTCTCTTTGTGTGTGTGTTTGTGTGTGTGTGTGTGTGTGTGTGTGTGTGTGTGTGTTTTCTTTTGGGGAGAGACAGAAAGAGAGAGAGCAGGGGAGGGGCAGAGAGAGTCAAGCAGGCTCTGCTCCCAGTGCAGAGCCCGACACGCGGCTTGATCTCCCAATCCTGAGATCATGACCAGAGCCATAATCAAGAGTCAGATACTTAACCAACTGAGCTACCCAGGCACCCCTCTCATTTTTTATTACTATCATTCTGATTACTTTTATTGGTTTGCAATCTTAAAACTTCACTGCTTTAAACAGAGGATTCACTGGTAATTCTGTTCCTTTCATTCTAAACTGAACCAGCATGTTTAGAATAAGAGGATAAGGTATATTCTCTCCTTTAATTGTAGTAAACATTAGATTAGGATCTCTGGTCTTTAAATTTGAAATGTTTGGAGAGATTACTTCCTGTAAAAAATATAATTTTCAGAGTATAAAAGACAAAGTTCGTATTTGTTTCTGTTACTGGAAGAGGCAAAAAACAGAAGTAGAGATGGAGAATGGGGGGAAATATGTAGGAAAACAAAGCTGTGAAGTACAAAGAAAACCCATACATGGGCCTGATGTGGAAAGTGAGGAGGGTAGGAAAACTGCTTCAAGTCAATGAGGGAATAATAGAAAGAAGAATGTTTTAAAAAGAGAGAGAGAGAGAGAGAGAGAGAGAGAGAGAGAGAGAGAAACACTCCTGCTTCATCCCCTCAAAAGAAAACATGCCAATGAAATCTCTGACAAGCACAAGTTCAAGAGGGTTATCTGAGACTAGACATGGTGATCCTAGAAGGATGAATTCTTCAGTGTGAAGAATATTTATTCCTTAGATGTGTTTGCTGTTCTATTTGGAGCTAAGGCAAGAGTGATGAATAATGGATAACAGGACACCCTAATTGTCTCTGTAACAAAGGCGGCAACACTGGAATTCATTATACCTTATTGTGTGAGACCATATATTGACAGATACACAGATAAAAGAACTTACCCTCTATAGATAACAGGTCTTTGTTCCAAACAACAGATTTACTTTTTCAAAAGTAGAAGCTAATAGGGGCTGATTTTGCCTTCCACACCTCATCTCTTTGGTGAAGTAACTACATTAAGCCGCATGGAAAATAAGATAATGATGATAATGGCATTTCCCCCCTGTTTTAAAATCCATTTAAAACAATAGTATCTAAAGATGAACTGCTGCAGAATCACAAAATTTTAAGGTGGTGAGGAACTCGGATCCCGCATTATACTTTCTAGGAAGTGGACAAATGGTTCCTGGCCCAGAGTAGCAGTTCCCCAAATGGAAACTGACTAACCAGCTTCCTTCCTGCCTGCGTCTTTTCCTCCCCTTTTCCCTCCCTTCCTCCCCGCTTCCCTTCCTTCTTTCTTTCAAAAACCTTTATTTTACAGAGGAGGCAAGGCCAAGCAACTTGTCCAAGCTCACTTGAAATCAAGACCAGGGCCCGTATCTTCCAATTTCTAAAATAGGGCTGATTCCCCATTGTCTTCTTGCTCATGCACTCAAACAAACAATACTCTTACAAGTATCAACAGAGTCAGTTTTTGCTTCCTTGAAGACGAGGAACACTTGGCCTGAATTTCAAATTGGCATTTCTTACTGAGTTTGAACAATCATGTAGCTTTGTATTTCCTTGCCGAGCATTTCATTTGCTCTTTTGGTGCTTTTTAAACAACCTTTCATAACACTTTCTTTTTTCCAATATAATACATGAAGTGTACAAATCTATAAATTGATTTAAGCCCTTGAGAAGGAATGGTGCTACTTGTACTGTATATTAAAATAGTAAGGCATCACTATTTGCCATAAAATGACACTGCAGCAGTGTCAGTAAGAAAGGAACTCACATCTCACAGAGCATCGACAGGGACATTGGAAATGAAACAATATTAATCCATTTAAGTTGGTGAGTCTGACTTATTTTGCTTTATGAGTCCTTGCAGGTAGTTTTGGGTAATGAGCTGTTGCAGATAGTTTTGGAGAATGTTTATAGTTGTGTCTCTGTGAAATGTTAACATCATTCAGGCTTAGCTGTGCCACGAAGACAATTCATGTTCACTGTGGAGAAAAAAAATTAACTGAGGACGGTACATTCTAGTTGCAGCTAGACTTTTGGAGTCTGTGTGTTTTTCTGACTACAGTTTCAGAAATTGAGTACAATCTTTAGAGATTACGCTTTATCTGAAGCACCACCATGGTGCAAACTATTATCATTCTGTGCCCTTTTGGCTCCCAGTTGTGCCTAAGAGGACACTGGTGGTAGGACAATTAAAGAAACCACAGTTAATGATATTTTCTTCCTGCAGGATCTGCCCTGCTGATTGCTCTCTTAATTCGCCCAATTGTGGAAAATAATGAAACATTCATTTTTTTTTTTTAAAACTCCATCTCTTGGGTGGGTGACTGGTCAGTGTTTTGAAGACACACTATTCCATTTGCTACTAGCTTCATTTGATAGATTGTGTCTTAGTTACTTTAACTTTTTAATTGTGTATATGTTCTGTTGAAGTATTTCTGCCTCACTGAAAAAGTAATGGTATCAAGAGTCATGTTATCTATTTTATCTGAAGGTTTAGGTGTCTGCAGCTTGTTTTTTTCTAAATCATTTCTCCCTTTAATTCCTAAATGATAGTTAGGGGAGGAAGTTTTCATCATATAATATTTCAATAATCTAGTTTCTTTCTCATTAAGGATTACATTATAGCACAAGGTGTTTGAGAAATCTAAACATAGAAGGGTTCATTACTGAAGTAGCTTCCAATACAAATCTTATTACTCATTTTGATTAGAAACTAATTAAAACTCAGTATAACTGCCACTGAAATGCATGTATAGTACTTTAAAAGATAAAGGATTCTAAGGTTGGGAATCATAACAGTGCTCTGGCTAGGTTTTTTTGTTTTTGGTTGTTTTGTTTTACTTATATAAGAAGAGAGAAGAAATATTAATCAATCTGTAAGACATGGACTTAGATCAAACAGACCACTAGCTAGAAAAGACTACTTCCCAGAAAAGTAGGGAGCCAACCAAGCATATGCTGGAGCAGGATCCTGGCAGTCTCTCGTGTGCCAGGAATAATCCCCTCGTAGCTGGATCACGTGGTAGTCTATGGGATCTGGTGCAGCCAGGGTAGGGCGGGCAGCATACAGAAAGCCATGATTAGTGGCTGTTTACCAAAGTATGCTGAGATGTTTTGGAATTTTATTAACAGGGATGGCTATACTGGGTGTAATTACCAAATTGAAAGTCATTCACACACACACACACACACACACACACACACACGTTATATATACACACACATAAGTGTGTGTATATCTGTGTGTGTGTATATATATATATATATATATATACAACACATATATATGTTGTATATATATATATATAACACATATATATATGTTATATATATATGTGTTATATACACATGTGTTATATATATGTGTGGATATACGTGTGTTACATAGACACACACACATATATATGTATATATTTATCATATACAAATACCACATTATGCACCATTATTTTATACTATTTATTACACATGGATTTTTTTTATCAGTATGAACAGTGTATATATATGTAGGGTTCATAAGGTTTAAGTCAGAATGAGGGGAAACTGCTATTTATTACCGAAGTTTAACATTATTTCCTAATAGTCATTAGAATTCTGGTTTTACACCAGAATTTTCAAAATTTCTTGAAATTCAGGCGACTAGTGGCTGCATAGTGTTTAGCGATTTTCTTTCTTGAATGCAGTCCTCCATTAGTAAAGATTGGTGTGGTAAATTTCTTTGTCTACTCCTATAGAAAATGTATTAGAATAGTTATGTGGGTGAGGGGAATTACTTATTAACAGGAAATGTAAAAAGACTATATCACCCATACCTGAAATAATAGGTTTTGTACTTTTTTTATCAAAAACTTATTGGTGGTATGATTCACAATTTTTTTCTTGACCATAGCTGGATTTTGCCACCCATATGAATTTGTCTCCATATCAGCTATTCAGTCAAAAAAAAGCCTAGGAATTTTTGTGAACCGTATTAGCATGTCTGCTTAGAGATTTCTTGGTTAATGGAGTTTAGAAGTTATTAGAGCGGTCTTGAAAGAGATAGACAATATTACTGATAAGACCATTCACTACAACTCAGATTTCTCCCAAAGTTCTAAGTAATGCTAGGGCATGGTTTATTAAATACTCTGTCATATTTGGTATATAAAATGTAAAAGAGAACACCAATATGAAAATCAAATTCTTATAATGACAGACTTAAGAGAAACATGGATGAATTGTTAAATTTGTAAAGCTGTGTGAGCAGTGATTCATTGTGGATAGGAAATAATTAAGTCTTCTAGTGCCCTTATGGCTTTTCCCAGCAACAATTGGGAGAGAGTGAATGATGGACATGAAGTGCTGATCTAAAGGTTTTTAGAGTTTCACCCCAAGTTTTAATGAGCCTCACCAATCACCCCTGACGGCAGCCTGATATTTTACAACCCCTCTAATAAAATTTTCTTACCTACTGTTCAGAGGTACTATTGTGTATACAGAAAGAGAGGGATGCAGCTGGTGAGGAAGACTTCTGGCAGAGCAGAAGAGTGCAAATTTGGCTTTAATTTTTATGTGTGATCATCTTAGCTTTCTTTGAATTGAAGGTTAGTGTGTACCAGTTATCCCTGGCCCTGTTTGGATTCTGGGAAAAAAACAATCTAATGTTAACTATACAGTTTGCCGTATTTTCTGACTTATCTCCTCACCTTCAGTATTTCCAATCCCCGTCTCCATAGTCTTTGTCCTCTCTGACTTCGAACATGCAAAGATATTGCCTAAGTTTCAGAGGGAGGGTTGAGAAGGTAGCTGTTATTTTCCCATTAGTTATTCTCTGTTTTTGGTCTCTTTTTTTCCACATGAGAATTCTAGATTCTTTTTTCTGCCAACCCTCTTTCTGCATTTCCTTACCACTCTCTCCAACTTTGAGTTCCAGAAATCTTTGAATCCCAGACATTCTAGTGAAACTGCATTCTCAAAGGTCATTAAGGATATTTTCACTGCAAGGTCAGCCTGCCCTTCTTCAGAATATATGCCAGGAAACTCTCCTTTCTCATCTTTCTTGATATTGTCGTGTTCTTCCTCTCTGATTGTTGTATTCTCATCTTCTACTGTCTTTGGATCTTAATTATTTATTGTTATTGTTGACTTTTCATCTGTACTTTGACTTCTGCATTCTTACCTGTAGAACTATTATTTTACTGTAGTTAGATACCATTTCCTAAGGCCTAATGCTCATTTTAACCTCACTCTAATTATCCTATATTTCACTGCCAGTCTGATCTCAACTTGTGTCACTTTAAAGAAAATATCTGAGGACCTCCCATTTCTTTCTGCTTCCCATAAAGTCTCTGTTGATATGGTAACTTTCAAGGGTCTCTTATAAATGAACTCCATTCTGCAGCCTGATGTTTTTCAAACTTTTTAAACCATGACCAGAAAAGAAATATATTTTATATTGTTACCTGGCATGTGCGCACACATACACACACACACACACACACACACACACACACATGAGCGTGTGCACACACAGACGCGCGCGCACACACACACACACACACACACACACACTGTGCTATCCACTCACATATTTGAAAGAAGTTTCCTGAAACCATATTTACATATACTATGTACAATTTACTTTCATTTTCCTGTTGTGTTTCCTTTAAAATAATGAAGTTATTATTTTAACTTGGCTTCCTGTCATGATCACTTGACTTCCTGTCATGATCCCACAGTTTGAAATGGTCTAGCTTCTCTAATCTTTCACCTTTTCACACTCTGCCCCCTCTACTCTCTCCAGAACAGTCTATCCCTGCCCTACAAGCACAAGCACTCAGGTTTGTGAGTTTTCATTCATGTTTTTCCAGACCAAGTATTTTCTTTTTTAGAAAAAAAATTTTTTTTAACGTTTATTTATGTTTGAGATAGAGAGAGAGACAGAGCATGAACGGGGGAGGGTCAGAGAGAGGGAGACACAGAACCCGAAACAGGCTCCAGGCTCTGAGCTGTCAGCACAGAGCCTGACGGCGGGGCTCGAACTCACAAACCGCGAGATCATGACCTGAGCCGAAGTCGGCCGCCCAACCGACTGAGCCACCCAGGCGCCCCAGCCCAAGTATTTTCTAATTATGAAGACATTTCTGCCACCTTGAGCTCTTGAAAATCCTCAGTTCCTCTAAAGGACAGCATTTCTAAACTGTCTTACACAAGATGACCCATAATCCTCTGCTGATTTTACAATGGTTTTATAATAGTAAATTTTCTCCTTATCTAGCCTGTATACTCATTACAAATAACACTATGTCCCCAATAACACTGATTTTAAGTGGTCAAAACAAAGCTCCTAAGTTATTTTTTTTTTAATTTATAAAACAATAAGTTTGCAAGTAACCTATTTTTCAAACTGCTGGTTCTATATGATGACATGAACTTGGTTTCTGAGGGCTAGGTACAAATCTTAGCTCTACTATTTATAAGGTATGTGATCTTGGGCAAAATCCTTAATATCTCTTTCTTAATTGTAAAGCAGGAGGAACACTAGAACCTGCCTCAGAAAATTGTGAAAAGGATGAAATGAGAATACTTGTAAGAGCTCCTGGCGTATACCATTCACCCACTGAATATTTGTAGTTAAATACACTGTCCTGGCACATAACCATTTTATCAGTTTTCTTGCTTGTTTTTTTTTTTTTCTATTTGTATATAATATTTTCAAGTGCAATCTTGTCTGCGGTCTTCCTTGTTGCACTTTTCTGATTATGCTGATTACCTACCAGGCACAGTTTTCTAAATTTTATACTTCTTCAGACAAAGTCTACCAAACAATAAATGGGAGATTGTGCATGCCTTCAAATTCTTATCACCCCTTGTAGTAATCAATACATGACTCTCTGATGTTCTAGAGAACAAAGAGATAAAACCAGCTTCTATATTATATTTTCTTTGTAGAAGAGTCTCATTGTAAGATTTGTTCTACCAACTCTGAAGATTCATTATACCAAATTAAATTGCTTTTAAATGTCTTATTTAAAAATTTAGAAAGCTTCTGAAATGACAAAGAAATATTTTGAGCTAATTCTTCATTTTGGAAGGGCGGGTGTTGGCTTGGCCTTTAGCATAACTAGTTATTTGACAAATTATGAGATGCTATTTTTTTAATTTGTGAAAGGAAGGTTTTGTATTTTAAGATAAACTAGGACACTAAGTTTTAGAGGCACATATTGCATCAGATTTTAGAACTAAATTTAAATTCATTTTCAACTTTCTGTGCTATGATATATGCAGATTAAAAGAAAAGTGACACACATAAAATCATGTCTGTTAAGTGTTTTAAATTTAAAAAGTAGTTTTTTACTCCCCAATCTCCCAAGAGTGGAACTTACTGGCATAAATTATCTAGCATCAGTTAGATGGCATTAGGTAACAGAGACTGATAGCAGATATAAAAGGGTAAAGATGGTGAGCCGAGCAACCATGAGTCTTGATAGGACTTTCCTGTCAATGTTAGTTTACCTCTATCTCAAACAAAATTCAGTGTAAAACATTTCTCTTTCCTCATTCATTTGGTTTTTATTATGTGTGGTAAACACGTGACCTCTGATACGATGACAAATTTCTGACAGACTTTCTGTTGGCACCCACTTCATGTCTTGATTTTCTTACCCACACTTCTCCCATTTCAGAGATGTGTTCCCAGCATAATAAACTTATTTTGTATCAGCAGGCTGTTAAAAGCATTACCTCTGTTGGGTTCAGTGTATTCATCTATACATCAGAGTATAGATGTATTATAGATGTTATTAAATTACAGATGTATATTATATTAAGAAGAGGTGAGAATGCATCACTTACAAAAGAATTTTGAAATCTGTGCATCTCTGTTGGTCAGAAGATTATACAGATTTTTATGGAATCAAGTAAACTGTTATCCTAGTTCCATACTGCCTCTGCCCCTCTCAGTTAATATGGAAAATTTGAAAATAATCTTTTACTTATATTTTTACTACCCTAAGGATGTCTAAACATGTTTACATCAAGCGGAAGACTTAGACCTGGATCATCTTATGTATCCTTAAAAAAAGAAAAAAAAAACTTTTATAAAGCTTTACTTCTTACAAGATCCACTAATCTTATTATGTTCCCCAAAATATTTCCAGCAAAACATGCTTCTGATATACAAGTGTGATATTTGTTTCTTAGTAAAAAATCAGCTTGAACTATCTTCTTAATAATTACCATAAGTACTGAGTAATGCTTTACCTTCAATGAGGTTAAGTTGCATTTCAATAAAGTTTTGACTTTATTCTAGAAAGAGGCAGAACAAAAATTTCAAAAATGTCATTTTAGTATCTCTCAGTGTTGTAAGTTAAAGGAAAAGCATCTTCGGAAAGATCTAGTTCTTAATAAATTCATATCACAAGAAACAAGAAGCTAAAGAATGTCAAAGGATCTGAGTTAAGCTGATATTTTTTTTTAACTTTTTATTCAGATTGCCTCAAGAAAGAGTGCAGTTGCCAGATGTTTTGTTTTGTTTTGTTTCTTTGAACTTTCTCTCTTTTATAACATTAGACTTAATAATGATTTAGTTTTATCTCGTTATGTAGTGAATGATAATAATCATCTTTAAGTTAAACTAATTGTCAGTTGATGGATCTCAAAAATGATCCTGTCTAAATCTTCACTCAGATTTGTCTGGAAAATTCCACTGTTAATGGATTAGAAAAATCTATGAGGAGATTCCACTGATATATACAAGACAGCCCTCATCCTCCAAGTACTGAGACTTGCAGAGCAAACACTGGACTACCCAAGTTAGGACTAGCATGATGGCTTATCTCAGGAAATATTCAACCACCAGTCTCCTTTACTTCACCACCTGGAACATTTCTACCTGTTATCTTCTATTTTACAGTTGCTTGTCCTTACAGATGGAAAACTAATTCCCAAATTACTTTACAAAAAATGCAGTTCAGATTCTTTATTTTATATGTATGCACAGATGTGTGTGTATGTATGCATGTGTATACATTCACACATAATATGCACATGAATACATTTACATATGTGTGCATGCATGTGTGTGTATGGCACATTGCAAAATTGAAGTAAACTAAAGAAATAGATTATAAGATATTGGGCCTCATTTTCAAAATTTTTAAAATTTGCATTCTGTTATTTTAATTCTTCTTGGCCTGCTCTTCACCTGGGAATTGGAAGTTTCTAAATTAAAAAAAAAACAACAACTAATTTTTTAAAAATAATAAAAATTTAGTTTGAGAAAGGTCCAAACTGGCTATATAATGTAGAGAAAAAAGTAAGAGTTTTTCTTATGTCTCTTTAAAACCCAGCCCTACTTCTCAGAGATTAACTGAATTCTTTCTGAATCAACTCTTTCTGAATTCCTTCCATACTAAAGGCTTTATGGGGTAAAAACTATCACTACAGATCCAAAGTCTAACACAATGTTTCACACATATTAGGCCTTCACTAATTATATGCTGGGAAAAAGAGAGTGGGTGTCAAAGAAGAACTTAAAAAATGGAGAAATATTCCATGTTCATGGATAGAAAGACTCAATTGATATTGTCAAGATGTCAGTTCTGCCAAACTTGATCTGTATATTTAATGTAATCCCAAAGT